GGGAGAGGGAGCTGGGATTGACATGTGAAGCAACCTTGTTTCTAATTTAAATTTAAATAAAGTCCCAGACCTTTAAAGAGAGAAAACGGGAAGAATCCCTTCTATTGATGCTGGTGCCGAGCTTGGCAGCTGCCCTCACATGAAAATGAACTCCTCCTCGTGGCAGTGGGACAAGATGTTGATACTGGCACCTGCCAGAGGCAGGCAGCCCAAGTCACAGCTGCGTCGGTCAAATGAGCTTGGAGACAGACCTCAGGGGGGGCTCCCAGGCCTTGATGACTATCTGCAGTCTGGAGCGCTCTGCTCTGCGGGCAGTTTATTGGAACTGGGTTTGTGTGCCTTCCCCCACCCCTCTGGGCTGGGTCTCAGGACTCATCAGGGGTGCAGGTGGCAGATCCAGATGAGCAGGCAACTCCAAGCTGCCTCTGGGGGGGGAAAAAGTATGGACTGTCAAGAGAGCCCCCGCGTCCCCCAAAAGCAAAGGGATCCCCATGAAGACCTGGGGGTACCCAGAGTGAAGAAGAGGGCTCTCAACAGGGGGAGGGGGTGGGGAAGGGGGAGGGGTGGGGGAGGGGGAGGGGCGGGGGAGGAGGAGGGGCGGGGGAGGAGGAGGGGCGGGGGAGGAGGGGTGGGGAGGGGAGGGGGAGTGTATTTCTCACTTGGTACTTGCATCACCCGACTCCAGAGGCATGCCTCCTCCTTCCACAAGATGAACATCTGATGGGACACCACTAGACGCTGGCAGCACTGAACTCAAGAGTGGCTTGGGTGAAGAATTCGTGGGGAGGGACTCTAGGATGTACTCCGTCAACAAAGGAAAGGGGAAGCAGCAGCCCCCCGGGGGCTTCACCAGCCAAGGGGATGGCGACAGACAGCACCAACCTCAGCTTAAGACACCTTCGGGGTGTCTGGCAGGGCAGAGGCCGTGGCAAACCTCATGGAATCCAGGCCTCTGTGTTCACTCCTAGGGGACAGTTCCTCAGGGAGAACCCTAGAAACCAGATCTCAGACTTTCCTGGTAAGAACCACGTCAGAGCCCAGACCTGTCAGGTCAAGACGTTGAGTTCTTGCTCAGGGTAAGAGACGAATGTGGCTCCTAGGGTTGCCTGGGTCACACACACAGCTTTATTTTACTTGGGGTTTCTAAGGGCAAAGTCCTCCTCCAGTCACCCAGACATTTAATTCTGGCCTCTTTTCTACAAAAGGATGCCCCCACTATTTCAGGACACTGGCTATCCTATCAGATGAACACTCCCATAGGTGAAGGACCTCGGCAAAGTGAGCAACCGACCCTGCCTCAGTGGCTTCTCGATTGATGCACCTTGATTCTGCTTTATTTTCTCCAAACCCAGTGAGCTCAGGGCAGATGGGACTCCTGGTGCCATGGTGCCCGGTCATGGTAATTCACTCCCATCTGCTGCCACTGTTTTATACCCTTTCTTACAAAGACGGGGCCTCCCACGGTCTCAGGGGTTCAGGCAAAGAGAGCAAGCAAGGACAGCAGACACTGCGGGGCAGAGACCAAGAGCAGCATCCAAAAGGCAGAACGTGAGCTTGGTTAAGCGACCCTTCTCTGGTCCGCACGTTGATGGGCCGTGCACATCTTGACTGTGTGAGTAACAACATGTTCCCAGTGATCACTCCTCTGAGCCCACTGTTTTGTTAAGTGATAACCAGAGTGCGTATATGTCGGATTCTAAGAAAATAATTGCTAATTAAATAAAAAACCCCCACTGCTTTTACGTCTCCTTTTTCTAATGACATGCCGATCTAACTTCCACCCTCTCTTGTTTCTCTGACTTAGCACAGAGGATGCTGGAGAGCGTCTGACTTACAAACAAGGACGCTCATGGGAAATGTAGTGTAGCTCGGAGTGATCCATCCGCAAAGCACAGAGCACAGGCAAGATAGAGACAACCCCTTTACCAACCCAAACTTTTAAGCGCAGGACCCTGGAGAGTTCCTGTGTTGTATCAGGATGAACTTGGGGCTATAACTTCTGAGACATCTCTGCTTAACTACAAGATACAGGATTGCCTTGGAAACAAACAGAAACCACCCTCTAATTACATCTAGATAAAATTTGCTTTGCTTGATGAAAAATAACCTATGTAATTTTCAATGCCTACTTTTTTTCTATTTGAGGTTTGAAAAGAAAATCATATGTGGAAAAATGGGCAGCGTTCCATTCTGAATCCCCTCCCTGTTGTACGCATCTACCCTACTGTGCTCTCTTAAACACATCTGATCAAGGGCGTCCAGGGTCAAACTGAATGAATGTGCTTCTACTCAATGTGGCTGTCGCCTCTCTCTCTCTCTCTCTCTCTCTCTCTCTCTCTCTCTCTCTCTCTCTCTGAAGGTAGGGCAGGGCTAGACTCTGAATCACTGTGTGGATACCATCTGCCTGCTATGATGACAAAACCAACTTCCACGAGGGACTTTCTGCAAGGGATCCAACCCCAGTGGCCCAAACCTATGCCTGTGCAAAGGGAAAACAGACAGACAGAAAATAACAAACTGCTCTCGCTTGTCAGTGGCTCCAGGAGGAAGTCAGGTGAGTAAAACACAGCCATGCTTCCTGCTCCAGTCTTGAGACAAATCTCTCTGTCAAGCTCATACATCAAGTTGAGATCACAAATAGCAGGACCACTTACTCGGGCTGGTTTTTCCAGCAGTCCCCCTACTGTGTTGTCCCTAAACAAGACCTTGCCCACTGTTGACCTAGTCAGTAACTTGTTTCCAAATGGAAGATTTGGTAACTCTTGAGATAATGCTTTTATTTCTGAAAGAAAAAAAATCAGATGTTTGATGGTGACACAGCTTTTCAAAGTTTAATTTGCATGTTGCATATCTATGAGTTCTTTGCTGAAGGCTGCCCTTGTTAGCACAGGGCTCCCGTTTCCTCTATGGTCCTCCGAAGCTAATTAGAGCTGCAGTATACTGCAGGGGTAATCGATAGCTTCCTAAGGTGGATCACATCCAATCAGACCCATATGCAATTAGTCCAGTGTAGATACTTGGAGGCACCTTAATTAAAACAAAATATGCTCCGTTAAGAGATACGCTCCCATACATGACTGGCATTCTGAATGTTTTGACACATTCAAGGTGTTTATTCACTGTACGTATGAATCTCCATGGAACTTCCGCACTGATCAGCTACATTTGGATGTTGGATGCATTTCCCCTTGAAACATTCTGACATGAAAAGCACGTTGCTACTGAGTATTTTACATTGGTATTCATTAGCATTTGGATATAAATGTACTTCAAACACCAAAAGAGCTGGAAACCAGGTCTCCCTCTTGGCTTCCATAGATTCCTTCCCTTTCCCAGGTGGAATTCTATGCGTCTAAGGCAAACCTCAGAGCACCGGGGGCAGGTATCAATAGAGTAAGTACATCAGGGTTCCCCCCTCTGCCTTTCTGAGGGTGGGAAGCAAGATCATCCTTCCAGGGCTCCATGGAGGGAAGACTTTCTTTTACTTACTTTGACCTGACCCAGACTCTAGATAAACACCAAAGGGTCTGCTCGGGCGAGGAAGAGGATTTCAGGAGAAGGTGTGTGGCTATGTAAGCCAGATGTCTCACCGAGAGAGTCCTATCCTGTTCTGTGTACCTTTGCCAGCCAATTCACCTTTCCAGAATCCCATGTGATCTACAAATCCTGGGATCTACAAACCACCGGTCATTTTTGCAGGGGCACAGTCTGCGATAAAGGCCATAGAACAATATACAGGAGATGCTTGGTGACCTTGAAATCAGACTGCTCTAAATGGTGGCCACGACACTGGAGTCAGGACCAAAGACACTCCCATGCACCCTGGCAGGGATCAACTCTGGAAGAGAGGGCGGGGCATCTCCAACTTGTCCCTAGTGCCCAGCCCCAATCAATGCTGCCTTTGTCAGGTAACAAAAAACCAAGGTACTGAGGCTGTGTCAACTGTCCCGTCATGCACCAAACTGCGGCCCCCTTTACAAGGACCGGCCCGTTCCTTGCGTTATGCAGCCTTGTTTTTCCAAGACAGATAAACACAGGGAGGGGCTGGCTGTTCTGTCTTCTCCTGACTGCCCATGGTGGTATAGCATGATGCAGCTTTCCGTTAAAGCAAGGGGTCTGATTCTGAGAACCGTATGAGAGAAGCTAGTACTAACTGGAGCTAGTACTAATTGTGAGAGGAAAACACACTGCAGGTATCTGTAGTAAACCATCAGTAAAAAAAAAAAAAAAAAAGATGAGACAGTATCGTTACTTTCAAAATGTAGAAAGCCAACAGCTGGGATCACTGAATAGTAAAAGTTAACACTTTCTCTGCACCTGACCTCGTACGTGTAAAAAGCATTAAGAGTTGCGCTCCAGCTGTGTCTGCCTCTTGTTTAAGCGGACTCTCACTCTGGCAAAGACTCAGCGGAGTGTCAGTCAACAACAATCCAGGCGCTGTGTGGGGGCCACAGCAGCGCCCCGCTAGCTGCTGGACTGAATGACAGGCTCCACATCTGGATATGACCAGGGCTTTCTGCTTTGCTAAGGGTCACAGAGCTGTCGGCAGTACACACACACACTCGGCGGAGAACGTTCACGGGAAGGTGAACGTTCAATATGAGACGGGAGTCCAGAAAGTCCACTCTTGAGCCCCAGCCTTCATTTGTCATCCACAACAGGCTGCAGCCATGACTTCAGAATTCAAAGCCACTAAGTAAGATATGGAAGAGTCTTCACCAATAACATCCCTTGCTCTAGCCAGTAGAGAGAACAGAGTTTAAGCTGTTAAAATCGCCACCGCCACCACCACCACCACCACCACCACCACCACCACCACCACCACCACCACCAAAACGCGCATGGCCTCAGCGGGCTTTACAGTCAGTTTGCAAATGGTCCCCTTAACCCACACCGTGCTGCAGAGCCTCCTGAGCTTGGAATCATCCCTGTAGCTGTTCTTTCACAGAAACCCCCCAGGGTCACAAGAAGCTTCCTTAAAAACAACGAAAGAGTTGCCGTTGGATGAAACTGTTTCTGGACCGAGGTTTTAAAACTGGATTTTTAGATATACAAGAGGACAGGAAACAGGTTACTTGGTTTTTGTTTGTTTGTTTGTTTTGTTTCTCTCTCTTCTCTCTTGTCTTTTCTGAACGCAGCTACGATGTTTCTGCCAAGGATACAGATAGTAGGGTGGACAGACTGATGACCACCAGCACCGGCAGTGAGCTCAGACGGCAACTGGGAGGAGCAGCCATTGATTTTGGGGTTATGTGGCTGGAGGCACCAGCGAGACCATCCTTTCCGAAATCATGCTGCAAAGAAAGAATGCTGTCATTATCATCCACAGCATGTATCCCCCCCATCATGTCATATCATACCCACACTCTGTACCCTACACATACCAGCCCATCATGTCATATCATACCCACACTCTGTACCCTACACATACCAGCCCATCATGTCATATTATACCTACACTCTGTACCCTACACATACCCGCCCATCATGTCATATCATACCCACACTCTGTACCCTACACATACCAGCCCATCATGTCATATCATACCCACACTCTGTACCCTACACATACCCGCCCATCATGTCATATTATACCTACACTCTGTACCCTACACATACCCGCCCATCATGTCATATCATACCCACACTCTGTACCCTACACATACCAGCCCATCATGTCATATCATACCCACACTCTGTACCCTACACATACCCGCCCATCATGTCATATCATACCCACACTCTGTACCCTACACATACCAGCCCATCATGTCATATCATACCTACACTCTGTACCCTACACATACCAGCCCATCATGTCATATCATACCTACACTCTGTACCCTACACATACCAGCCCATCATGTCATATCATACCCACACTCTGTACCCTACACATACCAGCCCATCATGTCATATCATACCCACACTCTGTACCCTACACATACCCGCCCATCATGTCATATCATACCTACACTCTGTACCCTACACATACCCGCCCATCATGTCACATTGGACCCACACTCTGTACCCACCCATCATGTCGTATTAGACCCACACTCTCTACCACGCTTTCCCTCTCCCTAATGGGAGACTCTCCCACATAAAGCTGACCTGAGATTTAACCTCTGCGATTCAACTGGCTAACTTTTAGTTTTACGAGACTGGACCATGAACTTAGATAAGGTGTGGACCCCGTTGGGTCAGTCGCCGGCCAACGCTTGCTGCTCCCTCTTTTATGCATTCTTGGTGATGGGAAACGCTTAGGCCTGGGGATGACTGCCTTTTTACATCTATTTCTAAACCACCTAACAGCTACGGCCTCCTTACTGGGGAAGGGACTTCTTGCTGATTCTCTCCACCAGGCAAGGAAGGTGGGAAGAATCATCCGGAACGTGCGGCTTATGGGAGGCACATGGATCACAACGAACGTCAAGGACCTACAGTAGCCAGAGACGTCCCCCCCTGAACCCCTCACTAACCTTACCAGAGGATTCCCACAGGGTCTCACTCCTCAGTGCGGGAACTCAGGCCAGAACCCACATGTACTTCCTGGCCAGTACAGCTATCCTTCCCTATGGTGAATACCCCACTGCACCGTCCCAGCTGCTTGGTGCTGTGAGGCCACACCCCCTCATGGCAGAGAAAGATGACGCACAGAACACTTAGCTATCTCCTCTTTGTCAGCTGTAGAGGGTCTGGGGCTGGCTCCACCTCTCAAGTGGGCTGTGGAGAAGTCAGAGGAGCCGCAGGTCAGGACCCTTGAGTCAGCAGGTAACTGACCTTGGCCTCTCCTGGCATGGAACAACGGACTTAGTGCTAAGGCTGGCCTTCTGGTAATGATCACAAGTTGTACATTTAGTTCTAACTTTGTACCCAGATCTTAATTCTGCACCTTGCAGGCCAATACAGAGGCTAAGGAGCTCTCTTATGGATCCAAGACCTTATTGGTCTCTAAACACTGTTTATTATATACCCAGTGCAGAGGTCTATGTCCCCATAAAGGCAAAGAAACACAGAAAAGAAATGTCACTTACATCAGCAAGACAGAGATGCGTACTGCCCGAAACATTGGATTTCAGCTTCTGTGCCTAGAGAGAGAGAGACAAAGGGAGAAAAAAAAAGCACTCAGACATAATAGGGAAGAGTAATTAATTATGATCCATTAATCAACAGTCTAGGGCAGGGCCAGATGATAAATATAGGAGCCACAACTGTGAGCCCCATCTGTAATTTACAGCATTCAAGTGGCTGTCTAATAAAGAGGTAGCAGGTGAGGTTAATTTTAATTATATATTTTATTTAACCAACTGTATTATCATTTGAACATGGAATCAATATAAAAAATTAATGAGGGATTTGGCGTTCTTTCTTCCCAGGTCTTCAAAATCCAGTGTCTGACCCTGCGTGCTTCTGCTCAGGGCTGCCCTATTTCAGAGCTCAGTAGCTGCCTGTCACCAGTGTGTGCTGCAGGGGTAGCACAGGCAGGATCGGGATACAGGAGAGAGCTTTGAAGTGGTGACTCCTTTACCTTTCCAGGCGCTAATTTGGGGGAACGTGCTATTAGTTTAAAGCATCACAGAAGACGCGCCCACATATTAGTAAACAGTCTCCTGGGAAGTTTGTGGCTTTGCTCATTTTCCAACTCGGTGCCCCAGCCAGCAAATGGTAAGAAGCTCTTGCTGTTTCCTGGTGCTGGGGAGGAATGGGGGGTGGGGGTGGGGTGGTGAAAGGGTTCAGTTGCTGAGCTCAGGGCTCTCTGAGCTCATGGGGCTCCCTCTTTCCTGGCAAACGACCCCTGGGTTGGGGTTAAAGCACCCTGGAAGGGTCTCCCAGATGGATGGATGCCCCCACAGGGATCACATAGCACTACAGACCCTGTGGTGGACTAAATGGGACAGACCCTGCTTAGGGAGGATTAGGAGGTATGTCAGTGGGGCTAGGGTCTGAGGTTCCAAAAACCCATGCAAGACCAACCAATCTCTCCCCTTCCCTCCTTCTCTCCCTCCCTCTCCTCCCTCCCCCTCTCCTATCTGTGGATCAGGATATAAAACTCTCAAGTTACTGCTCCAGGGCCTGCCCACCTGCCCACCCACTACCACGCTCCCTGCCATGATGGTCATGGACTAACTTTCTGAAATTATGAGCAAGACCTCAATTAAACGCCCCCTCCCGTAAGTTGCTTTGGCCATGCTGTCTCTTTACAGCGACAGAGCAGTCATCAAGACAGACCCCAATACAGAAATTCAAAAACTACCTCCAAGGTAGCTGCTCTCGGGCTGAGCAGTGAAGGCTGGAAACTGTCTTTTTCCCCTTAACTGAACCAACTTCTCCACTGAGCTTAGGCTTGTGGATTCATCGGAACAGGCATTTCCATCTCTCAGACAACTGCAAGGGACAGACCTTGACAGCTGCCCGGTACAACACCCATTTTATAAACACAAACAATTTAAGCCCAGAGAAGCTAAATGACTGATCACACGGCAACATGCTTACAGAGCCAGAATGCATGCAACCGGAACTCTTCAGTTTTATAGAAATGTGCTCCTTCCTGGGTCACAGACTTGCTTCAGTCTGTGTCCTCCCCAAATCCATACAAGGAACTCTTCCCATGGCGCCCACCCTCAGCCCCTAACCACAGCAACCCTTTGACACCAAGGAATAGCTTGTCTGTCAAGAAGGTAAACAGTCATCATCTTTGAACCAATTAATACCTGAGCCACACCTCCCACTGCCTCTACACCTCCCCTACTCCTCAGCTCTGAGGGAACTCTGCTAGAAGGCGGCCTGTAATGCTCCGAGCCTCTGTGACTCACAGAAGACACACAAGGCTAAAGCGACAGCATGCTCTCCCAAGGAGTAATCTGTTGACCATAATGCCACTGGGATGGCATCATAATCTTTACCTATATTTGCATATGCCAGCCGTGAATATGAAACAGGAACCTTTAAGCAGGCTTCAAGAACAAGACACTGTGAAGCATCCCCGGGCTGTTCAAAGGTCACTAAATGTTATGTATAAGAAGATCAGAGGGGAAATTGGAAGCAGAATTGGACTTACTCAACAGCCTACTTTTAATCTATAATAACGGCAAGTCTGAGCCACCGCTCCGCTACCTACGGAGACTAATGTGTAGCACGTCAAGTTGGAATGGTGCCCAGACAGCCAAATGACCCTAAAACATCCCATTCTGTCTTTTCTTTACTAGGTGATAAGATACAAAAGACAAAGATCTCCACTGAAGGACTCTGCATAGCTATTCCACCTCTGGACTGTGATGTAGGGCAGCCTCGGCCATTTCTGTAGCATGGTCACAGCAAAGCAGCACTTGAATGGACCAAGGTGGCTCCCCACTGGAGCAGCGTTAGGTGTAAAAAGGAGTTCTTAACTGGGAAGTTGGTAGCTTTCTCAGGGCTGGACTGGGATTTGCCCCTGTCCCACCTTTAAAGTTCTGGCCACGGTGGGTGCCCATATGTAAAACAAGTTCTCAATTGGTCCAGATAATAAAATCCCAGAGTCAAACATAAACGCTGAGATATCAGAGAGAAGGAGCAAGCCACAGCCACACCTTACCTCCTAAGGGTCTCCGCAGAGAAGAGAGCGATTTCCTGTTTGTCCCCGCTTATATCCTGTTACTGCCCAGCTATGTCACTTCCTTCCTGTTTGTACAGACCTCCAGACCTCTATGGTTAGCCGTGCTCCATTCTCTGACCCCTAGACAGGCTTTATTTGTGCAAGAAAGATATCACCACACTTAGGAGAGTGTTCCTATGGTGAAACTTCCAGGAACTAGCCAGGAAGGGTTGCTGTCTTGCCAGGTGTTCTAAAGGACTTCTGTGCACATGGGTAGACTTCTTGACCCCATCACTGAGGGCCTCATACTAAATATAACGTCTCTACACTTTCCAGTAGGTCCCCATGCCCATGCCTAAACTGCCAGCTCTACCTTCACTCACAGGGCGGCCGTAGTGATTGTTTCCTGGCACAGGAAAATGTGTTTACAACAGCCCCATGTCTGTGTCATTTATGGGCCCCCGTCCCCAAAGCAGCATCCTACGGACTTCTAACAACTAACCTGTATCTGGAGGACCAACCTGGTGGGTGTAACCACACGCTGTGCTGAATCCAAGTGAGAGCGTGCTGTCTAACCCAGAGAGCTCCAAGCTCTCGGAGATGAGCTTGGCTGTCCACAGGCCAAGGCAGGTCTCTAAACCCTGCTTTCAGGAAGCACTTGGCAAGCTTCCTGCAGAGTCATCTGGTACTGGAGATGTCACCATGATCGCAGAGTAAGGTAAACATGGCAGTCTTGCAGGAGCTACCCAAGCCTAGCAGGGGACACTAATGAGAAGGTGAAGGCAGGTGACAGCTGGGTGATAAAGTCAAAGGATGGGACGCACCTGTGTGAGAAGGGTTTAAGTCCCTTACCCGATGGGACGGAGGCCAAAGGGTCCGTATCTACCCTGGCACTAACTACAGACCAAGCTTTGTCTGGCACCCACACCACACGTGATGGGCAGGCAGACGGGCAGAACAGGGCTCATACAACATGCATGCAGTGGCCACCCGCACGCTCAGGAGTCCTGTACACGGCACGAAGTCCCAACGACCACTGAGGATCAGAAACAGACCACTGTGGACCCAGAGTGGCTTTAAGAAAACCTGTGTCTTAAAGCCCACTGCAGAAGCCCCAGAAAACTGTTTTTCTATGTTGTTGAAGATTCTCATCCTGTTCTCTCTCTCTCTCTCTCTCTTTGGAAATGTCACTCAACAACCAGTCTCGCTAGTCAGTTGTGATAAATTCAAATGTAAAATTACAAGGGCAACCCACCCCACTGCCCAGCACACACATACACACTCCAACTGTAGCATATTTGCCTAGTACTTACACACTTCAAGTCTCATTTCGCTGGCTGAAAACTGAGAGGGAATTGAGGAAATTAAAACACACACACACACACACACACACACACACCCCTAAGACTCTGTAGAGAGTAAACTAAGCCCCAAAGTGGAAAATTAGCTGTCATCACCAAAGCATAAACTGATAAAGCAGGGCTCCATGAATGTGTGTTGGCACAGGTGTGAGGGTCCCTGTGGTCCCCTGACACCTGGTAATTATGGGATACACAGGCACCTGACCTAGAGCTCTGACAGCCCACATCTACATGGACACTGATCCTAAGCAGCCACTGGCTTAAGGGAGGGAGAGAAGGAAAAGTCTATTCTGCTTTTCTAGCAGTTAATCTGAACCATGATTACAGTAGGGTTGGGGAAAAAAATGAATCATTTGATGTCTTTTATGAAAGTGTTTCCTATCAGTTAATTTCTGGTCCTATGGTTTGGGCAAAGCCTCCTGACTCTCTACTTTGTTTGAAATGTCACTACCAAGACACGGCGTTTTGAGCTATATCTTCCAGGATTAAAAAGGGCAAAAGCATGCTGCAGAGGCCTGGCCTACGCTTCAGGAAACGGCAGAAGCTTGCCCTTTAGAGTCTCCATAAGCTTTGCCCCTCCAGCAGCTGTTACAAAATTGTCCCTGGTGGCAATCAACAAGTCCAGGCATGTCACATAATAGAATTTCCAGGGCTCTGTGATTAGCAGGCCAGACCTCACCAGTCTCTGGCACCAGAGGGTTAATAAATGCATTAGATGCTGTTAACCTCTGGTACCTGGAGTCAGAGTGACCTCTCTGACTTTCACCCCAGGCCTCAGCATTTGCAAAGCCAGTCTTGGTGCCAACAGCACTCCAATGCAGAGCACAGGGGCATACACATTTTTTCCGTAGCTGGCACTGGAGTCCCCACCTGCTTCCGTCCACTGTAGGCTCTGCAGGACTCAGGGGACAGCGCAGGGTTGTGAGCAGCGTGCCCCGTCTGTTTATGGAACTGGAGACTAAAAAGGGCACCCTTGCAGAGTCTGGCCTTTTCGGCCCCAGGACTCCATTTCTGCGGTGAAGCCAGTTGTTTAATCTCGGGTTTTTAGGCAGCTGTCAGCCAGCGGGGCATGGAACATGTCTCTGTTCCCCTCCATGCAGGAGAAAAGCCGTTGCCCTCTCTGCCTTAACTCCAGGAAATAAAACCAGAAGACGCT